TTCCAAAATTGTGCGCATTAAAAGAAAACCAAATCGAGTAGTTTTTCAAATTATTCGATAAAAATAGGTGATTATGAGCAAGAAATGGCCCGTCTTCAGTCCTTATGGGATGAAATAGGAAGTGATGATGAAATTGACGAATCTGATGGTGATGAAACGAGCGATAATGTTAGCATCGTTAGTAACTATCCAGATTTCGAAGATCAAAGGCGAAACTGTGGAACCTCCATACAAAAGACTCAAACGAAATGGACAAGGAAGGTCTCAAGATTGCCATGCATCGTGCCCGTGATCGAAATACAAAATACATTTGTAACAAACGCAATAAATTCGTATGTCTGGACCATGCAGAAATATACTGCAAATCTTGCGTAGAAATGGCAAACGTTGATGACCTGTAACTTTTTATGATTCAGTCGTTTTATGTGCAAAAGACTTCTTCAAGTAAATCTATATTTTTTTCCATTAAAAAAGCCCATTGTTTTGGTAAAGACGGAATATAACGATTTATTGCTCGTTTTGGTAAATCAAACATTATTTTATTGCAAAAAGAGATATCACAGTATAGAATTCTCATAACAACTATGTTGCAATAAAAAAAATGTTAATTTTTTGTCTACAAATGTTACAAAAGTCCACATGTCGGACGCAGGGTTAACAATCCACATCGAAATGTCTTAGCTTCAATTCTTACCAATCCTCAAATCAGTTTGCGTGAAAGGTCTAAGCAATTAAATTTGAGTAGAGAGAAAATTAGAAGATGTCTCATTCTTCATGAAATTAAACCTTTTAAACCAAAGTTCTTGCACACATTGAAAGAAGGTGACGAATATAAAAGATTAGATTACTGCTATTGGGTCCGAAGAAACTTTTCAAATGAAATTTTCTGAAAAAAAATGTTGTTCTATGAAGAGGCTACGTTCACTACCAATCCAATAGTATCTGCTCAAATTTGCAGATAATGATCTACTGAAAATTTCTATCAGTTTATAAACTGTACGGACCAATACTCAAAAAGTTAATGCATGATGGTGGTATTTTAGGCGACAGAATAATTGGACCGCGTTTCTTCAGTAATACCATTAACGCTAAACGAATATTTTTTGATAATGAATTATGGGAAATAATTTGAAATCTACCTCTCAATGTGCGACAAGAGATGTAATTTCAGTGAGCGGAGCTTCCGTTCATAATTCTTGGATGGTTCAAGAGTAGTTGAACGAACATCTTCCATTACGTTGGTTTGGTAGAAATAGCCCATATGAACAATGGCTTCCTCGCACTTCTGACATAATATCAATGTATTTTCACGTCTGAGGAACTGTCAAGAATAGAATTCATAAGTCTAGGTTACGGAATCAATATGAACTTTGTAAGAGAATATGGCAAGCCTGCCGTGAAATAAATATTCCAGAACTTGGGAGAGTGGCCAATAATAATAGAAAAATAATTGAAAAATGTATCAGATTTGAGGGCGGGCCAGTTGAGAGAGACAATATTTAGCACTGACTTCCAATATAAGTGTTTATTCCATTTCCTGTTGAATTCGCTTCATTAATTTTCATTTATTTTCGACCGATGTCTGTGCGTTTTAGTAACTAATAATAAAAATTTGATTTTTTTTTCATAATAAACATCAGTTAGGTTTTTCATTTTCATTCCTACATTATAAAACATTTATTATTTTCATAGCTTCTTATTTAGAACCATTAATTGAAAATCGGACTTGAATATGAAAATTCCATAATAAAATTCAAAATTCGAATTTTGTGTTGGAATTCGGAATGTAGGATCAAAAATCGATATCTAAGCAACTTTTTCGGTATCTCCAACACGATACAAAATATTGAAAATTTGCCTTTTTCGCATCAGGAACGCAGTAGGCTGGGTTTGAGGCTGATACTCGGGCTTTCAAAAATGACTTAAACACAAGGTGTCTTCATTTCAAGTGTGTGTCACACTGTAGAAATCAATTTTTTTCTTCCTAAGTTCGGAGGTTCTACATTTCTTGTATAATGATGGTGAAAGTAGACAGCCAAAAAACATTTTCCCAAAAATTAATTAAATTTCATAGTCAGTGAAATCGTAACTGTAGTATTATTGAATTTACCCCCTGGCTTAACAGAAAAATAATATGACATAAGTTTAATATAATAACATTTTTTAAATATTAAATATTTCAATTTAATTTTTTAGGCAGTTGCTGCCACCGAAATAAAACATTGTTAGTTTTGCAAATCATATGTAAAAAGTGAATAACCTAAAAATCTGAAACTGAAAAATAATTATCTTCCAAATAGCATGTAGGAAGGAAAACTGTTGTATAGATATTTGTGAAGTTTTTCATTATGCACAACTCCAGTCCAGCAATCCTGTACGTGCTGCTTTAACAATGCGTAGGTCGCGTAGGTAATGTTTGAATAAAGTGTATTTAATTCTGAAATGTGTTGTTTTTGAATCACTAATACTATCTAAAAGTTTTGATAATTATCTGAACTTCAAATTAAACACGAAATAAATATAAATATTGATCTACAAGCCTTTTTGGGTCAATACAAAGATGTTTATTGGATTAAAATTAATCCTCATCTACCAAGTGTATCTCTATTAATTTTTCATTTTCATACATTATTTTTGGTAGATTCGAATAATTAGGAGAGTTTCAAGAAAGCATATACTTAGCAAAAAATTGAATTGTCTTTCAATTAAAACTCATAAGCATATAATATACTTAGAATTGTGAAAAAAATGTAACAAATTGTCTCTTCAACTTTCTCTCAACAACTTAGTGAAACATTATTTTGTAAGAATTCCATGCTGTAAACTAATTTCATCATAAGGATGGAATCAGGAACTAATAAAATTATATATACATATATATTTGTGTCTTCTAAAAAAAGATGTACCTACAATTCAGTGATTGAAAACTGACAATAAACAACAAATTAGGTAAGATTCTTACCTTTTGCAATATTTCTGATAAATCCAAGACACGACGGGTAGAATTCACTGAACTTCCAAAGTTATAAGCGATTATAGCACTTTCAATAATTTTTTCACGACTCACATCTAAGGATTCGCGATATCACTTCTTTTAAATCCCATTAAGCTTTCAAACCAAAGCACACTCTAGATTCAAATTCATAATGATGAAGCGCGCTCGATGGCGAATCTGAATAATCGACGGTGGCGACACCACGGCTGTGTACGGTAACTCGCGAAAGTGAGAAAATTTAAATTTGAATGGGTATGGGAAAAGAGGGTAGCAGAATAAGGGATTTGGTTCGGAAGGGTTCTATTGTGAAATGTCCCCATTTTTATGTACCAGAGAGTTTTGTTTCGAATTGAATGGGGTAAGAAAATAAATAATTTCAGAAGGTTTCATTTATCTTACTAAATGTTTAGGAAATGTATATATCTATGCATTCAATAATTGGGTTTGAATTCATCATTTTGTAGCAATTTTGACAATTTATTAACAAAAATAGTTGTTATTTCTTTTGATTTTTTTTCTGTTATTTATATTCAAAATTTTTCAACAAAGATTGTGTATTTCGAATAATCGTCCGATGTTACCATTGTTTACATTGTAATCCATAAGTGAAATTATTAGTTGTACAATAATTGAAAACCTCTACGATGCCAATAATGGAATTCACACACGATTTATTATGTCTATTGCAACTATTTGGCAACCAGTTATACACATAAAACATTCCCATATTTTGTATTCGATTAATTTGGAGATTTCTTTCTTTTCGATTCCTACACAACTAAATTCTATAGCTGACGTACGTGGAAAAAATCGTACTTTTTGGTACAAAACAAGTCATTTCCAAGTTGATAATTTCCATGAGAGATGGATAATCGAGTTTGGCTTGTTATAGAAATTTGTTTTGCGAGGTTTTGGAATATGAATAAAATGTTAATAACATGCCCCCTAATTGCTCAGGATATCTTCGATCCGTATCTCTGATCACAAATTCACAAATAATGAACATATTCTTGACAAATGACTTATCAGGCGCCAGAAATATTACAATTCGAATGATCACTAGTTGCAAATTATGGATAGATTGATCCGTTACTTGATGAAAATTAATAACATTATCCATGATAGTGATTACACAATCCTCACAAACATTTATATTTCTAGACACGTTTCATTAACATTTTTAGCGAAAGGCATCAAGGTTTGATTTGTAAAATTTATTCTTATACTCTTTTTTTGAACATATTTTTTCATCATCATTCATCTTCATTATTTTATTAAAATGATCATTGTTAACATATCATTTTTTTTCCATATTTTTTCATTATTTAATTTTTCAACTAGCTCAAAAATATTTGGGTTCATATTTCCAACCTCTTATTCACACATTTTTCATTTTCGGTTCTCATGGATTCGAGAAATAGTTAAACACCTGTAACATCCATAACCATTTCTGTTAGGACACACAATAAATCAGCTCTGACTAGGTTGCAATGCCACATTACCGCTCAATACCTTCCACCTTAGTATTACTGGTTTTAAACTTCACTTTTTTAAGAGATTCCTGAAATCTTCGTCGCATATTTCAGATTGATTCATTTTTATCGATATGTAAATAAACAAAAAACCAAGAGAACTGAGCTCACGCCCCTCAGCACCCTCTCGTGGCAAGAATGTTGATACGTGTTCAGAAGAGCATGATTCACACCGAATGCGTGTTCCCATGATTTCGAAATAACGTATGCGTATTTACTAACTCGACAGCAGACTTCTTTTATAGATATCGGAAGAAATATTTTCAACATCCTAACGTTATTGGCAATTTGGACATGACACATCATAACGAGGCGCTCTCAGAGCGGTGCGAAATTATATTGTAGAAGCCAAGAAATGAAAACTACCGTTCATTGGATACTTTAACAAAATTTTAGATTTTTTTTGTTGGACACACTGTGAATCGAAGAAAATCGTGTTTTTTGCTCCATCACTTTCGGAAGTACACTTTTGATCGCTGTCAGTTGTCACTTCCAACTTCCTTCTTTCAATTGTCCACAATGCAGGCGCCTACACAGAAGGTAAATTTCTAATAGACTTTTATTAAAATAGCTGTATTTAGTAACTCTGGAAAGAAATCTATCATAACAAAATATGTTTGTTTCAGCCGAAAAAGGAACCAATCCACTCTGTCCAAGTTTTTGGCAGAAAAGTGAGTACTTTTGAAATACCAATATATCAAATGGGCACACGTGGTATATAGTTTTCACGACTCGTGTGGAAATTGTAGAGTTTGGTTTTTATTTGTCATTTTTTTTTTAGAAAACAGCTACCGCAGTTGCATATTGCAAAAGGGGTAGAGGAGTACTAAGGGTCAATGGGCGCCCTTTGAGCCAGGTTGAGCCTAAAATGCTCCAGGACAAACTTCAAGAACCCATTTTGCTTCTTGGAAAGGTAACTAGATAATGAGTATTATTTGAAAACGTGGTTTAAGTTCCTAAAACTTCAAATTTTAGCAGGGTGTAACAATTATAAAACGGTCATCTGTATGCTTATAATTCAAACAAAAAAGTCTTCCTGTTATTCAAATATGTTCATCAATATTTTGTGTAGACTTGTACATACCACGAGTATCTTTTGAATTTTTGTTTCACTCAAGAAGAGTGCATTTTAAAGTAGCGTGTTGTTTAGGTTTCCTTACTGAATCTAGTTGATTTCGGTAAATCTAAGAATGTTGTTTTGAATATTTTTCATAACTTCTCAAAATACGAAGGAACATCATGATTATTCACAATCTGTCAGCCATGTAACACTACGCAATCATCTCAATTTCAATTTGATACATTCTCCCGAGAAAAAATCTGGTCTAGGTAGGTATCAAACTTACGACCTTTTAATAGTGTCAGGTGCATTACCCTTATACCAATTCACCACTTGACGATTCAAATCATGCTTATTGATTTAGATTTGAATATTCCAGTAGCTTCACATACCAGCTGGTAAACTTGCAGTAACTATCTCAATAGGTCGATTACTAATTATTTTTAGTGAAATACACTTTTAATATTGGCATTCGTTCACTTTAAAATCTCCCATGTAACGAGACCAGTCTGAACCCAGAATGTCGGGCCTTGATCTGAGTTTTATGGTTTAGGGACATATTCTCTGCAAATGTACTATATAAAATATATATTATATGATGATCCTTTTATCCCGAATATGAGCTTAGGCATTGAAATCGTTTTCAATTCTGATGGATATTACGTCAAAACCTGTTGGCGTGATTTTTATGAATATATTTCAACTGTTGTTTTATTTGCAGGACAAGTTCTCTGCAGTAGATGTGAGAGTCCGTGTAAATGGTGGAGGACATGTTTCCCAAATCTATGCTATTAGGCAGGCGATATCCAAAGCTCTGGTAGCGTACTATCAAAAATGTAAGTAAATGTTGCTGTAAGTTCAATATGTGTCGGTGAAATGAAAATGTTGACTCTTGAATTGAACTGGCATATTCTACATTATGAATTGAAAAGCCATATATCTGATTCACTCAAACTTCTGTATTTCAATATTTGCTGTCAAGGGTTGTCATTCTTTTAACTTTTCAATAGTGACACTGATGTTTTTGACATTCATGCCAGTATCGGGTTAATAATTCATACATTTATTTTTTTCTGGCAAAAATATTTTACGTTTGTTACAATTTGGACTTTTGGGATCAGATAAATATTAGGTTATGTCTAAAGTGAATGGGTCTATTCGACCCTCCACCGCAACCCGCAAGGGTTTATTGTAGCTAAGTACCTATTAGTGGGGTATCAGATTGAAATGGTAATTTTTATAATTTAATGCACAAAAGTCAAAATGAGTTTATTCAGTTACTAAGAAGTATCAAAAACCTAATAAAATGTCTAAGAAATATTGTTTTAATTCTGTCAAAACAATTACTTTCAATTATTTTGTGATTGCAAATTGTGATACATTTTTTTGAACGATAATTCCAGTTTTTTCCATCTCTCAGTGTCAACAAAACTCTCAGTGTTTTTGATTATAATGATCTGGACGTTACATCTTGTCCAATAAGAAAAATGCTTAGTCTAGCTTTAGATCACAAACTCACTTTGAATCCACATATTGACCTATTCTGCTAAACATTGAAAAAAAATGTTAGCCACTAAGATTTAAGTGAAATCACTTGCCGAGTTATTATGTAACAATCAACATTCACATAAAATATGGAATTCTAAACTGGGGTACAGGATCTTTTTCACGAAGGATTTTCATACTATAGAAATATGCTATGAGAATCATCGATGGCAAGGATAAAAAATGTTTCTCTTTTTGAAATGACCCGTCAAAATCATGACCACTCAACTAAATCGTAAAAACTTTTTGAGGGCTGCCATCGAACGGCATTATTTAAAAGCATCTTTACTTTGCACCTGAATTATTCTGAGTTGGACATTTCAACGACAGAGTTGTATATTATTTCGATTTTTAAGACAATTGAAAACTTACTTCATCCAAAAAAACTGCTACACCATCCAGGAGTTTTTGGAAAATGAGTAATTCTTCTCTAACATGTGTTATCTATTTTTCAAGTGTTATTTTACCTTTTGTGTAACTATCAGTAATGTTTGTAATTGTATTATACTATGGTATACACCTTATGGATGTCTTCTTCGTTACTGTATATTATTTTGTAAAATAAATTTTGTACTGCTCAATTAGAGAAATGAATGTTATTAATAATTAAAATCAAATAAGGTGATTCATTTGTAAACATATTCACAAAGTCTGGTATAATTGAATCTTTTATTATTCAGATGTTGATGAAGCATCCAAAAAGGAATTGAAGGACATCTTGATTCAATACGACCGAACATTGTTGGTTGCTGATCCTCGTCGTTGTGAGCCCAAGAAGTTTGGTGGTCCAGGTGCCCGTGCCCGCTATCAAAAATCTTACCGTTAAGCTGTTTAGGTATAATGTTGTGTTTCTTGTGAGATATCTACAATAAACATGATCTATTTGTACATCTTTTTTTCATAAAATTGAATAATTCAATAGGTTCCTTGAAATAGGTATATTTCAGGTGGAGTGACAAAGTGATGTTCTTAGAATTTGTTTTGAAAATATTATTTGCAGGTAATAATAATGAACAGTATGAACAAGTGTGTGTTTGTGATTTTTGGAAAGTACCTTAAAACCTAGTTAATTGAAATTGGGTTGAGTTATGAGTTCTGTTGGATTCATCAAATAGAAAGTGGCAAAATCTTTCATATCTAACGTGATTTTCTTTTCTTTAAAACCACCGAGCTTTTTGATGCATGAGTTTTGAAACTATTTAATAATAAAATTGTTTCAACAAGCATACATTGTTTGAAAATGGAATCGATTATAAGAGTCAATTTTTAGATAACCAGTATCCAAAACAACTTTCTCAACAAAAATGGAGAAAATTGATCAAGATTTGAAAAAACATTTCATTTTTTTTTATTACTATACCCTCTCATGAGATTACTTAACTGTCAGACTGATGATTGGACTGAAGGTGGAGTACCACAAGGAACAGTATGGATACTGTTCTTAGTATATTTATATGAATCATATGGCAGTTGTAAAAAAACTTTGAAAAACAATTCATCTGCTATGCAGATGATTCCTTCAACACGTCCAACTACTCAGGAGAAAATTAGGTTTTACTGAAAATCACGTTTTGGCTTGTTGCCCTCCTGCAGAACTATCTGAGTAATAGAAAGTTGAGATTCCATCTCTTCCCTTCACTCTTTTTTGGCAACTCCAGTTCCTTCCTGTTCACATTTTTCTTATTATCTTCAAGTTAGCTCTGTAGACTTGAAATTTAAGATTTAGTTTTTCTCAGAATTCCAAAATGCAATATATTCATAAGTATGTTCTGAATGAAAAATAAGTATGTAAATGAAATTATAACGACGAGTTTCCTCAAATATAACAGTAAGAAATGGAGAAATTTTGGTGAATAGCATAAGTAACTGATTTCTGTTGATTTTTTTAATTGGGATTTATAAATGATTTGTGCAACTCATTGTAGTAGATTGAAGTTTGCAGATGATTTGAAATTGTATGTACCTTCTGGAGATAATACTACAATACCCACAAAACTTGAAAACCTCCAAATTCAAAATCCTAACAAACTATATTTGAAGTAACTGATAATATTAGGAAAATTGGATGGAACTGTGATTTAACCATCAAATTACGTTCAAAAATTTCGTATATTTTATTGTAACACTATCTCATGAAGTCATCATTGGAATATTGATTCTCCTGCATTTTATTTTCAACCAATTTTATGTTGAAATCACTAGTGATTAGGCACTGCAAACTGTCAGGTAATATTCTTTTCTTTTGTCTATTTGGACCAGAAAATACCAATCGTGACCAAACTGTTGTGAATATAAATAAAAATTTAAATTGAGTTTTCTAAACATTGTTACGCCTCTATGTAATAGTCTGTCTGGTTATCTAGGGATACCTACCTTCGGGAACCAATAGCGTTGGTCCTGTTTCTTTACCTCTCGCTGAAAAGTACCCTCGTTCACGCAGTGTGGTGTGTGGTTTAAGCATAACCTAAGAAATAAGGTCTAGTTGAGAAGAAAGTGTTAGTTTATTGTGGAGAATATCAAAGCTTCTCATTTGTATAAGCTTGGTGATAGTGTTTCTCACATCAAATTAAACTGATCAAACCAATTGTATTCGACATTCTGTGAAATCTGTAAATAAGGTGTGACATAATAAAGTGTGTTACTTAATTACCTACTTCGCATTATTTAATAGTATACAGTCCAGTGTAAGGGGGTAGGCAAGCCCAAAAGCCAAAATTGGGACCCAACACTAAACAGTGACTTTTTCGGGATGCGTTGGACGCTCTTGGATGTCATGTGAATTGATTCGTCTCAAATTCGATAATTTTGTTTGCTCACTTACCCATTTAACCAGAAATGGGCCTCATTGCTGAAGATGATATAGTGTTTCTCACATCAAATTAAACAGATCAAACCAATTGTATTCGACATTCTGTGAAATCTGTAAATTAGGTGTGACATAATAAAGTGTGTTACTTAATTACCTACTTCGCATTATTTAATAGTATACAGTCCACTGGAAGGGGACAGGCAAGCCCAAAAGCCAAAATTGGGACCCAACACTAAACAGTGACTTTTTCGGGATGCGTTGGATGTCATGTGAATTGATTCGTCTCAAATTCGATAATTTTGTTTGCTCACTTACCCATTTAACCAGAAATGGGCCTCATTGCTGAAGATGATTTTTCGATGAAAATAAGGGTCAGTTGCCAACTGCTCCAGAGCCCATTCAGCGAATACACGTCGTTGTCTATGGTCGTTTCAGTTCCAGGATCAGTAGAATTTTGTACGGACACAGGCCCAAGCCACGAAGCAAAATTCGCAAAGTTGTGTTTTGTGAAAGGTCGTGTTCTTGTAAGCGGCGCGAAATCGACTGCCTCGGATTATCCTGCACACTCTCACAGACAGTAGCAATGTTTTCGGTAGATCTCTCGTTTCATCGACGTACGGGTGTTGGTCGATTGTTTACTGAACTAGTGGTTTCAAATTTATCCACTATATTGCTAATAGTATTCTCGGAAGGACGATCATGGCAACCGTAAAATGGGCGAAGCCCGCGGTACGTTGCCCGAACAGAACACCCATTTTGATGAAACAATTTTATTATTTGCACGTGTTGTTGAATGCTTTGGCCGTCCATGGTGATTTGGCAAAAAAGACTGAATAAATGACAACTAATTTGACAGATGTAGCTTCAACAAGATAACCGTTATCAATTGTCAAAGTTCAGAAGTCTCTGTTGGAAGACCCTATAATCATCCTCTAAATGGATAGTGGTTAGGAAGTGGACTGAATAAAGTTTCATATCTATCACTTTGTCTTTCAGTACTCCATGTTTTTCAGTTTTTAAAAAAGGTACATTCACACAGGAAAACGTGTAATCAAACTCGTTATGTTTCTGTCATCAAAAATATAATAGTACACTGTATAGATATATAGGTAAGCTTTAGTGGTGAGGCAAAAATAAACACCAGAATAGTAAAAACTTTTCTGAATCAAAAATAAAATATAGCAATAATATTGACTAGAAATGGTGAGAACTTCTAACGAAAAGTAGCTAGTCTAGTGGAAAATTTTTCACAGGTGTACAAATATTGTACAAATTCACTATACATTACAAGAGAAAACCAGAAGATTTCAATAGATTTTCTATTTAAATTCAATTAAGCTATCATTTGGTACGAGTATAACCTATTTTAGTGCTGTTGAGGAGCAAGAACCCCAAAATGGACTAGTATAGTAGTATACAAGGTGATTAACAACATACAATGATTTTTTATGGGGATGCACAAGTTGTTACAAAATGTAATTTGTTGCTATATGCTCTAATATCTCCCAGTTGATATATTTTATATGTTACATCAAATATTTCAGAATGTTGAGACTTGTGAACTTAAGAACTAAAAAACTAAAAGTTTGAATCTAATCTTAAAAGCTAAAGAACTGATTGGGTCTAACATGGGACTAAGGTGACAATAATAAGTAAGATATAGATAACAGAGAGAAATTAAATTCAAGACAGTGGCTCGCAATTTACTTCAAAGCTTTATGTGTGACAAATTAAAATGATTAATATCTACTCTGTTTCCATTTAAAACAATTCCAGAAAAGAAAGGAATGCTGTTTCCATTTAAAACAATTCGAGAGAAGGGAGAATGCTTTCCATAATTACATCTGTAGTATTCAGCCCAGAATGTCTTGTTTATTAGGTTTGGTCAATGAAGAACAAGACGATTTATTTTCGAAAGAATATCAAAGAGTTTTCTTTAAAACTCGGAGTTTTTGTGAAGAAATATATTATCATCGGCATATGATAAATAAATCTTCGAGTTTACTTGGAACTCTATGCTGTTGGTATGAACTTCATAAACCTGGTGACCGAATACAAATACAATATTTTACAACTAACCTTATCAAAATTTTAATTGAATTCATGTTTGTGGTATCTTTTGTTGATCTGCGAACGAAACCCAACATTTTAAATGCCAATTGTTAGGTATATGCCCATAAGAATGTGCATTTTGACATCGATAATTATTACCAGATCATGAATAGATATAGTATATTCTAACAATTGTTCGGTTATATTGTACAAACATTCATATTTATCTACGGAGCCAAAAATGTCATGGATCACGTAATGTTGAGTAAACCAATATGTGGACATTATAAGGTTAAACTATCTAACTAGCATGCATTCTTGCCGTGATTAAATAAACTTGTATAATTTCAAGTCGTCTGCGGACATCAGAATTTTGGAGTGGTTAATTTTATCCCTAATATATTTTACGAAGATATTGAAAAATATTTTGACGCACTCCAGAACTCATGAACATATTGTTTTCTATCACTACCATAAATGATTAATCATTTGAGCAGATTTCCGAGAAAATCAATTGCTATGAGCTTTTCACAAATAATTTTGTTGGAAGGTTCTTAAAAAGACGGNCACTATATTTTTGGTATAAAGAAAATTTATATCCACCTAGCTTTTAACTGATGAATGTGGTCAGGATAAAAATAATTCGTTAGCTATCAATTTCTCCCAGTACAAACAACATAACATGGAGTCTCTGACTTTTATACATTTTTTGTTGATACTGAGCGATTTTATTATTTGGTGGCAACTTCCCAATACAAATAACCCCGATTTATCAGCCTCAGCACAGAATAAATAACTTCGAAATTACAGCTCGACTGATGTGGGTACAAGTAGACATAATAAAATTGCTGTAATCTTTTGGCACCAGGCTAAGTTTCACGAAGAGTTATAGAAAATGTATGTTTTCGTATTATCTTAAGCCCGTCCATTCATCAAAATCAGTGACCGTTACCTCGCCTTTATAAACACAAAAGAATCCTGGGATTCTCATTTACTATCATTATATTATTGTTGGCAAAGGAACACC